TTTTGTTGGGATCCCTGGAAGTTCATACTTAGGGTGAGCTTAATGATTGATAATCTAGAGACACAAATTCTATTTCCCTGTGAATATTTTGGCTCCACCTTGTGTTGGCCTCATCCTCAAGCAGGTTTCAAGATGACTGCAGCAGTTCCAGACCTCATGTCTCTATATAACAATGTCCAGAGGGAAGAGAAAGTCTCTTCCTGAAGCTCTTTCAGAAGGGTGAACACGAACCATTTCAGAAACACCAGTCAATTGCTTCTCATGTCTCGGTTGGCCTAACCTGGGTCATGTGTCCTTTCCTGAACCAGTTAGACAAGAGGGGTGGGGTTACTCTTATACCAGCCAAGCTTGAACCCTGGAGATGGGGGTGGGTTATAGTTTCCTGAGGCTCAGGTACTTTACATGTTCCTGTATGTGTGTGTGTATGGATTTGTTGTGTGTGTATACACATGTTCATACCTAAACAAAATCTGGGTACTATTAGGAAAGACAAAGGGGTGTTTAGATGCTGGGCAATTAACCAATGACATCTACTATAACGTGGTTTGTATTTTATAAAAACTGCCCCTCTGCAGGCCTGATGTTGCAGTAGTTAACCCAGCGTTCCTGTCAGTGTACAAATTCTCATAACCGGGGCACTTGATACTGCTCCCCAATCCACATATTGTTGTTTTCTTCCATCTCCACATAGAGAGAGGAAGCAGATGGGCAAATTGCGTTCCTACAACAACTTGGGCATAGGTGTTGGACCTGGGTTTGACACACTTACAAACAAACTTAACATTTCTGAGCCCATTTTAAAACAAGTATAACATGGGGAGAATATTAATTACCTCAATAGGCTGTCAGGAGATTAAGTGCAAAGTATGTAACACAGCTCTTGGTGAGTGTTTAATAAATAGTAATTATCATGATTATGTTCATACCTTCATTCCTGAGGGTAGCTACCTAAACTCTAAGCCTGGGTTTATAGCAATACATTAAGTGTTTGGGGGTTGGTACTCTTTCCCTCACTTAACCAATCTCTAAAAAGTAATAGAATGCCTTCGCTTAGAGTTTTAGGAAGTTGGGATAGAGATCTGTCATACTTTTTCAATGATGACAAGTCATGACAAGCCTGACTTAGCCAATTGATTTTTATTCCCTTTTACTTTAAGCACAAATATGTTGTTTTAACTTTGCCACTGACCTGGGGGCGGAGGAGGGGTTGAAGTAAATTCATTATCAATTGACTGAAAGAGGAATTAAGCCAAAGAATCGAGTTCTTTGTCTCTGTTTACTTTTTCTCCCACAGATGCCAATTCTGGGAGGTGAGTACTGTTCCTCCCAACACCCTTGTACCTATAATGATCTATGAAATTGAAGACAATGCTAATAGTAGCTGTCATGAAGAATCGAGGTCTGCTCAGTCCCACGTCATTACAAGACATTGCCTTGACTTACGTATTTTGTGTGTCTTGCACAGAGTGGGAGTAGTCCACCAGAGTAAATCCTACTGCAGAAAGCTGGACAATCCAATCATAAAATGATGAACTCACCTGTTATATCCAGGGATTTGGTCCTGCACCAGCCTCTTTAAGATGGTTAGGCTGCAGTGTACATCTGTAAAAGGAACTAAACCCAATGATTGTATGATTGTATTCTGCGCATTGGATTTAGCTGTCGTCAGATATAGTTGGTCATTTGGGGCTCCTGATTTTAAAACAATTATAGAAACCGAAAAACAAATTTCATGTGATGGTTTGTCCCTTTTGAGAGACATCAAATGGGTCCTCTTAGAAAGGAAGTAAAGGCTCAACGCTCATTCAGAATTAAAACTCAAAAGTGACTTCAGGAAAATCGAGGCTTCATATCACAATATGGGCTTATAACGCCCAGTGCTTCATTCAGTGCAGTGTATCCCAGGGTTTTTCATCAACTTCCCAAGCTGATGGTCATAGTTTCTGATGAAAAGATAATCATGTAACATAGACCAAACTGACCTTCCAAAATTACTCTTAGTGGATTTGGAAGAGTAGCTCACTTAATGTCTCTAATTTCGTCATTTATTTTTATAGGTCACATTCCATCCTTAAAACACCCCATGGGTCTGTCAGTGACTTTGTTTGAAGCAGAAATTTGTCTTATCAAATATCCTGATGAGGGCTTGGAAGGGCTTTTGCTATTAAAAGGGTTTTGTTCTAATGATATTTATCTTAATCAGATTTGGCTGACACATCTCTCACTCATAGAATTCTAGAAGGAAAAATAATCTAACCAACTCAGAAATTGTTTGGCCCAACCAACTTATTTTACTGCTGGGGAGTTTGCCCCAGGTCACCCTGGCCTGTCTTTGAATCCCAGTCCTGAGTTCCCCCCATTCTCCCACAGTGCCTTTCTGTGTTGATTTATGGTTGTGACATGGAGGCTGTGAGGCCTGAGGCTGCAGGCTTTCCACCTTTTCTGGTGGGAGTCGGGGTGTTCTGCCTGATACCATTCATTGCATGTCCACACCATCCAGACCCTGCCTTCTAGCAGAGTTGCAGTGGACTCACCCATGCTCCAGGGAGACAAATGGCATGGTAGGAGCCCACAATCAGCAGCCTGGTGGCCTGGGTCAAATCCTACCTTGCTCTGTGGATGTTGTGTGACTTTGGGTAACCCATTGAGCCTCTCTGTGCCTCAGTTTTTTCAGATATAAAATAGGGACCTTCCTTCTAGGATCACTGTGGGGATTGAATGAGTGCATACCTAGAGAGCAATTGGAGCAAGCAATCAGGTGCGTTGTGTGTGGGTTTGCAAACTATGGGTCTCCCCAAGGTACTGAGTTGTGAAATCAGTGTTTTCAATCATAAATGGCATTAGAAAAATTAACCTGTTATAGTAGAATAAAATAGAACATATATGAGTGCATGGCATTTATGCAGGGTCTTTTTTGGTGTCTCTTTCACTCTTCTTTTTGGTGTTCCTTTGATTTTGTGCATGTGTGCGTGTGCGTGCATGTGTGTGTGTGTAATGGTTCACAGTGCAAAATGTATTGCTCACTGTGGATTGTAGTTAAGAGTTTGGACGCCTCTGCTCCAGGGACTGGAGTGAGCGAATCCATTTCTCTAAGCACAGATCTATCGGGGTGATGAAGTGCATTTTAGCATCAATATATAAGGTGAGCTCTGGCTGAAACTTCAATGTGCTTCCTTTGCAGAGGGAGACCAAAGGGCAGTTTCTTATTGACCACATCTGCAACTACTACAGCTTGCTGGAGAAGGACTACTTTGGCATTCGTTATGTGGACCCAGAGAAGCAGCGGGTAAGAGCTGACCTCTGTAAAAAAAAAAAAATGCTGACCTCTGTCTGGACCCATTTTGGGGAGTCACTCAGGCTGTGGGTGCTGAAGAGTTTTCTCTCAGAGCAATTAAGATACACTCTTGTTCTCATGGTTATTGACCACATGGAACCAACCAGCCTGCGCTGTGTGTGTGTGTGTGTGTGTGTGTGTGTGTGTGTGTGTGTGTAAGAGTCTGGCATTGTTCCCATTGCACTGGCTAGGTAGGGCAGGAGAAGGGAAAGCTTACCTTAGACCTCACCAGAAAGCTGCTCGCCCCTGATTGAAGAGAGAATTTGCCTGTGCACATTGAACCCAAAGTTTGCCAAAGCTCTTCAAACAGTGGCTACATAAAACCTAGTTATAGAGAAAACCCACCCCTCACTATAAAAAGAGATTGATAGGGAACAGGGCAGTGACTGGGTATAAAATTTTCTTTTAGGGTAATAAAAATGTTTGGAACTTGACATAGGTGGTGGCTATATAACATTGTGAATGTACGAAATGCTATTGAAATGTGTACTTTAAAAGGGTTCATTTTATGTCATGTGAATGTCACCTCAATTAAAAAAAAGCCTCGGCAGATGAAGGATTAAGATACTTGAAAGCCGCTCCTTTGGCACCATTAAACCTGACAGCCCCCATTGTATTCCTGCTTCCGGACACAGCTGTCCTCTCTGGTCTGTGTCGGTGTGTAAGAGTGAACAGGGGAACCTTTTTAGCTGTGGTACCAGCCAAAGTGTGTTCCGGCATGGCATACGCCAGGCTCACAGGGATGCGTGCTCCCCACATTCAAAAGGACTCCAGGATCTCCATCTCGGCTCCCATCCCTGGGTCACAGCTGTGGGTTAGGAGGCTCTGTACCTGCTTCTCACCTTGTCCCACTGCCATACAGGACAGTGTGTGAAAGGGTCAGCTGAGGGTGGTCAGGGATGTGGGGACAGGTCCCCTCTGACTTCCTTAATCTGCTCCCTTTCTCACCAGTGTCCCTGGTCATCTTCCTGTTTCCTCTTCTCTCCCCATGACTCCACCTGTTTCTTGGTTTCGTGTTTACCGGCCTAATCCAATGAGGAGAGGCTCACAAAGTGTATTTTTTTGTAAAGGAGGAGGCTGTTTAAGGAATAGATTAGATTTTCTGCAGAAACGTGGAGAATTGTACTTAGCTCTTAGAGTCCAGTAGGACCTGATCTTCTGTGAAGGGACACATGGCAGTGACTTAGAAGGAGGGGATGTTGGTTTCTTGCAGCACTTGCAGAAACTCTACCTGAGTGAGAGGAAGCGGGAGGATGTTGGGCTGACATGAGGTCACGGAGGGGGGTTGTGTGGCATTTACTACTGATTAACTATGATTCCCAGACTTGGCCTTGCAACAAACTCCCATCAGGTGTTTGCTAAACGTGCTTAGTGTAGCCCCCATTCTAGAACTCCTGAGTCAGAATCCCTGGGGCCAGGGCCAGGAACACGTATTTTAACACCTTCTGATTCTACTTTTGGTACAGCACTCCCAACTTTGGTCTCCTGACAGTGTTGGGGATCATGGAATAAAGATATCCATAGACATAACTTCTTATGGCCTATGAAGATATTACCCTTTTATGGAGAGAGAACAGGCTCAAAGATGTTGTTGCTTGCCCCAGGTTTCATAGCTCGTAAGTGATGGGAGTATTTGAATTTGGGATTATGGTTCAAACCCTAATTCCTATGGGCCAGACAGACTCTGTGGACTGTAACCACTGAAAACAAGTTATTTTTGTGCAAAATTCCATTCTAAATTCTAAGCAGCCAACATGCAGAAGTAATTCTGGTACCATTAGTTGAGTATCATGTGCCAAGAATTTAACTCACATGGTCCCTAGTCTTCCCCAAAGCACTGCAAAGAAGAAGGAAACTGAGGTGCAGAGAGCGGGTCAGTGGCTTTCCTGAGGCCACGTGGCTGGTAATTATTGTATAAAGGATGGAATTTGAACCTACATGCTTTCTGTTTCATCTCCCAAATGAAAATTTGAAACAGCCTAGACCAGGAATCTGTAACCCTTTTCTGTAAAGACTAGATAGGAAATATTTTCAGCTTTATGACCCACACAGCCTCTGTCATAATTACTCAATTATTCTGTTCTAGTGGAAAGCAGCCATAGATAATACCTAAAGTAAAGGTTGCGGCTGTGTTCCCAAAAAACCCCCTTTTTTCCCCCAATAAAATCATTTTACAAAAAAATAAGCAATTGGCTATAGTTTGCTGATCTATTGCCTGGAAACCACTTAATGCATTAGCCATTTTCATTTCTTTTGACTCTCTCACTGGGGAGATGTTGGATAAAATATTAAGACAAGTCTTTAGAATTGGAATCAGAGATATCAATATGAACTCAAGTATTTTTTTTAAAACATAGGTACAGAAATAAATATAGGCGTGTGTGTGTATGTGGGCTAGTACACGTACATTTATTTACAGGTTCTGTCCATGAGATGGCCTAGAAGCCGTGACACGACAGGACGGTGAGCATACCTAGCCCCCAGATCTTGGTTTCTAAATACTATTCTCCAATAAGAAGGAACAAGGGCTCCTGGCAGAAATGGCTGATTCTTGGGCTGGAATAGGGAAATCACAAGATGAGTCTCAAGCATCTTGTGGTGCCAGAAAATATAAGCAAGTGCTCAAAAATCTAAGAGATAGGGCCCTAGGAAAACACAGTCACCTCGAGAGAGCTGCCAGTGGCCCAAATTGGAGCAATAGGAGTGGCGAAAGTCAATAACAATAGTATTGAATTATAACCCATAGAATAAAATAAATATCCCTGAGTCCATATTGATATAGATAAAATAAATAAATAAATAAATAAAAGAGGGAGAGGGGGCAACTTTTCTTTACAGAAGAATTACAATTGATAAATGTAGAAGGAATGAGAGAAGTAGGCTGAATCTGACCTTAGAACACTACAATAATAATTGTTGTGGGGCGAGAATATTGGTGAACGCTAAAATTAGTGGGCAAAACTTTGGGGGGAAACAGAATATATGCGTGGTCTCAAAGTAATCCCCCTCCATATTTTTTAATTGCAAAGGGAAAAAATAATAACTTTAGAGTGGATAAACCTGGCAGACATCACTTTCACCAAACAATCAAGGTTAACATCACCAGTAAAAAGACATACCAACATCACATCCCCCTCATGTCATGCACTGAGAAGAGCATAGCCTCTGCGGTTTCCTTCTCAATAACGCCTAACCTTATTCACGTCTTGAGGAAACACCAGAAAATCTGCAGTGAGAGACATTCTCCAAAATAACTTAATAATACTGTTTAAAAGAGTTAAGGTCATGAACGCCAAGGAAAGACTCGGAAACTCCCCCAGATTAGAGAGATGTGTCAACTCAGGCAATGAGGGATCCCAGATGGGATCCTGGAATAGAGAAGAGTGTTAGTGGGAGAAAACTGGTGAACTCCCAAGTCTGTACTTTATTAATAATATTGTGTTAGTATTAGTTTCTTAGTTTTCATAATTGTGCTATGGTTATATAAGATTCTGACATTAGGGGAAAATGAGTGAAGGTTGTACTATACTATCTTTGCAAGTTTTCTGTGTCTAAAGTTATTATTATTATTTTTTACAGCTTTCAGTAGGTCTTTATTTTTTAGTTAAATTTTATTGGGGTGACATTGGTTAATGAGATTATATAAATTTCAAGTGCACAACATTATAATACGTCATCTGTATATTGCACTGTATTTGCATCAACCAAAGTTTAGTCTCCTTTAAAATTATTTTTAGATTAAAAAAGAAGTCTTTCATTGTTCTTTATACTTTGACTTGATTTACCTTAATTGTTAGTGTCCAGGTTTGGGTAGTAGATTAGTGAAAAAAATGTGAGTTACCCCAAAACAAAACTATCTTATCTGATATATCCATTCAGTTGCTTAGCGGGCTGCCTGAACAGTTCTGTTTCCCCCTGCATTTAGAGCTGTTATATAGCCTTTTGGTTTTGAGGCTTCACTGTGAATGTGGCTTCCACATGGGCTGCAGAGCTGTTGCTGCACAAAAGTGCATGCACTTTGTACTCAGCAAAATTGTGAATTAAATCCTCTCTCTGCTGGTTAGTAAACTGGGATATCTTTCTTGATCAAGTTATTGACCCTCTCTGAGTCTCTGTTCTGATTGTTAAAACAAGTAACAATACCTACACGTAGGGTTGTTATGGGAATTAGAGATAAGGTATGCAAATGCTTCACAAAGGGTATATACTGAGTACATGGTATATGTTATTTTTATTATTAATTATTAATATTACAATTACTCTGCATTGACTGGGTCTAGGTGAGGCAATTGCATGAGGAAAGAGAGCCCTGTTTAGCAAGTCGAAACCCTAAAAATGTTAATAACTTATTTTAAAGGCAAGATAGCCATCATTATGATCTTTGGGGAGAGAAGGGGGAAGTAAGCCTTGGATAATAAGAAATATGGGCTCAGAGGCACACAGACACGTTGATAGGAGAGATTTAAGCAGAGATTAATTGACCAGCGTTGCTTTTTTACAAATTTGTGAACTTCTTCTCAATGGAAAATAAAGCCAATGAATTATTTGGATTGAAATCTAATCAACAGAGAAAATCAAGTGAGTTAGGAAAGCTGAAGTGGAATTTACCTCTGCTGGGGAAGTTGGTGGTTTGCCTACAACCCTTCACAATTTGATTTACGGCAAGCCATTGTGGAATATTAAATATTTAGCACTATTGCATTTGGAACACCATATGTTTCTCAAGATGTCAATATGCTCCGAGAGTGGTGAGAAGTGAGTCAGTAAATGATGACTATCTTTTGCTATTTTAATGGCAAGGGCCCAGAGTTTCCATTATTTTCAAAATTTGAGGTAAGGTGGGGCAGATTGAATAGTGGTCAATTAAAATCTCCCTCAGTTTTGATCACATTTGTCTTCTGCAGAACTCACACCATCTTAGTTGCCTGCCATTGGGGGAAAGGTCGGTGGTA